AAAGTGTTCATTTTAAATGTTTTAAAAACTATATTAAAAGCCCTATATAATTGCCTGGAAACAATGATAATTGAAGGAATATTTTAAAGGAAAAATCTTAACAACTGGGATTTTAGCATACCAGAAACTACTAACTTGAAATATTCTAAACAATACATATTTGCTTTCCACAATAGTAATTTTTCAAAAATCCAATAACTAGGCCCACCCACTGGACATAATCTTTCAAATGTTAGTGAATGAGTGTCCATGACTTAAAGAATACACAAGAGGCACTTCTACCTGTACTATTAAGCAAAATAGACCTTAAGATCCTCAAATGCATAGTAACTCCAATTCATCAAAGGATTTAAGAAATAGCTGATTTAAAATGCAAGCACATTCAAAACCTTTGTACAATGTATTAGTACTACCATATTTAGGGAAGAGACAAAGGAAGAAATCATGAACAAAATGCAAAATTCCTGCTTATTTTTATGAACTTTCATAAACATGAAATGTCTAGATTTGAAATTTGTACTACTATTGCTAAGAACTAATATTTGTTGAGCCTTGACTATTTGTCAGAACATAGTAAAGCATTTTATATTTGTGTCATTATTTAGTCCCAAGGCAACCTTATGAGGTGTGTACTATTACAATCTTCATTTTACAGACAAGGAAGCTGTGGTTCCCAGCTGTTAATTTACCAAAGGCCACCAAGCTGGTTAAGTGGCAGAGCTCAGATTTAAAACAAAGGAGTTTATTTCTAGAATTTGCACTGTTAACTCATTTGCTATACTGATTGGGAATCCATGAAACTGGTGAAGCTGTATTCTGCATTTGTCTGTGTCTCCTCCTCATCCTCCTGGAGCCTCAATGAATAAAAATGAATCCTGGGCTGGGGATTTAGCTCAGTGATTCCGCCGCCTGCCCTGCAAATGCAAGGACCCGAGTTCGATCCCCAGTACCAAAAAAAAAAAAATACAGTGAATGCTGCTGCCAAGTGCCATCCAATGGAAAAAAAAAAAAAAAAAAAAAATGAATCCTGAGCTGTGTAATCTGTTCATGTATATCACTATCTTTTAGAATCAAAGATGCTAGTATAGTTGTTACACATATTCTTCTTCCTTTAAAGAAAGGTATGACAATAAATGCATTGTCTTCAGGTTTTTCCTGCAATGGTTTTATATATAATTTCTCTTTCTTGTTTAGGGTTGCAGCTAGAAGATAATAACACCGGCAATGGAACCCTTATACGAGGAATATCTCACACATGGTGGAACAATAGTCAAACCTTATCACTGGTTAAACTTCTCTCTAGACTGCACTAACTGTCCTTACCATATCCGGACAGGTGAGGAAGCAAGAGTTCCCTACACAGAATTTCATCAGGTTTTTGGATTCCCTCATGGGCCAACATATCCTCCAACAAAACACCTCACATTTTATGAACTAAAAACTTCTTCTGGTACCCTGGTGCAAAAAGGCCATGCTAGCAATTGCACCGGGAATGACACCCACCCAGAATCAATGCTATTTGAGATGAACGGTTACCTTGATTCAGCCATACACAGTAATAGCACCATTAAGCATATCATTCTGTATTTAAACAACTTCCCTTGTAATGAAGCTAACCATTGCTGCATCAGCAAAATGTACAATTTCCTGATGATGTATCCAGATATCACTCTTAGTATTTACTTTTCTCAGCTCTATCATACTAAAAGTGAATTTCCTACCTCAGCATGGAACCTCGAAGCTCTCAGAAGCCTGGCCAGCTTATGGCCCCAGGTCACACTGAGTCCAATAAGTGGTATGATTTGGCATTCTCTCCTCAACAACTTTGTTATGGGTGTCTCAGGACCAGCTGCTTTCCAGCCCATTTTAACAGGGAGAGCATTGGCTGACAGACACAATGCATATGAAATCAGTGCCATAACAGGAGTGAAACCTTACTTCACTGATGTTCTTCCCCAGACAAAAGCGAATCAGAACATAAAAGCTCAGGTAGCTTCAGGGAGCTATCCCTTAAGCAATGTCTTTGCAGGACAGTCTTTCCAAGGGACAAAAGGACAACTGCAACACAACCTGACTCCAGACCTCAGAATTCCTGTTGTTTTTGTGCTGGTGCCTTACAGAGATCTACCACCAACCCAGGTTGGTCAAAACCTGCATAAACCCAGGCATGTGGTAAGGCACTTAAATATGCCTCAAATGTCAATCTACGAAAACAAAGACTCAAAAAACTTCCCATCGGAAGACTAGAGGAGATAGTGGAAATCACAGAACAGTCTGCAAGTAGCAAAGAGGCAGATAAAAAGAAGAGAAGAAACAAAATCTACATTTTATGAATACATAAAACCAAACAATTTCCAGAGGACTAATTAGATGGCAACAAAAATTTGGAAATTCTGTCTCTCAGGTCTGACCAAGATGGAGATAAACTGATACAATAAAAGCAAAACCTGATTTACCGTATCAACAATTCTAAAACTATACTATGCTTAATGTAATACAAAATGTTGCCATATGTAACTTGATATCATCCTTTTATTTTGAAAGTGACAGTAACAAAATGGAGTCATTAGGACCTTGCTGGTATTTTGATGCAGAAAAAGAATGTCATTACTCTAGTTTACCCACACCATCCTCCCGCTAAAAAGAAAAAACAAAAACCATGGACTAAGTAGCTTCCAAAATTACGTAGTCAATACAAAAATTTACTGTAAAATTGGAAACAGCCTGAAGTTACTGACAGTAAATGCTGCCTGCAAGAGTAAATCAGTGATTTTCCATTAATTATTAATTGTGAGCAGAAGATTTTAGGCAGCCCATTTTTTATACAGTAATTCAAAGTAGTTTTGTGTGAGTAAAAGCTCTTCTCTAGCTACAAATATTGATTTTTGGAACCTAGCCACCTGCTCAATTTGGTCTTCCCCATCTCAGAACTCTCCCTCCTGAACAGATGATAGAGGCAGGATGATACATGAACATCTCCAAAGCTCCTCCCTCACATGCCATATAAAACCCAAGCCATTCTTACTGGCTTCCAGGGCTCCTGATGCCTTGCCTCATCAGCAAAACTGTAATTTCCTCTAGTACAAGCACCATCTCTTTCTCTTTAACCTTTCTCTTAGTATCCGGCAGAACATTCAGGCAAAATGTGGGTAGCAAAGCTGAATCTACATCTCAATAAATTCACCAATCACTACTCCCTAATATCCCTTCTCCACCCCAAGCTCAGATAATTTTGCAGGTATATACTATATCTTCCTAAAACAAACAACGTGGGAATTATCTATCATTCAAATGATTCCAGAGCACAGAAAAAAGGTTAAAATTGCACAAGTTCATCTCCAAAGCTACACCAATCCTAATATCAAAACTGGATAAATTGGTGGGAGATATAGCTCAGTGCTACAACAGTTGCCTGGCATGCAGGAGACCTTGGGTTTGATCCTCACTATTACATAATACAAAACAAAACAAAAAAACTAGGCAAAGACCACACAAAGAAATTGTAGATCAATCTTCCTTCCTTTCCATATAAACAAAATATAAAGAAATTAAATCCACCAATTGATTAAAATAGTCACATTTCATAAACAAGTCAAGTTTAATCTTTAAAAACCTGGGGATGTTCTAGTGCCCAAAAATATATAAACATAACTCATTACATTCCTAAAAGATCAAAATCTTTATGATGCTTATCTTTAAATCTTCCAAAAAATTTTTATAATTTCAGCAGTCATTCCTAAAGATCATAAAACAATAATAAATATAACACCAACTGGTGAAATGCCAGAGGAACAAAGCAGGAAAAGCCATTATCAACTCAATGTTTCAACACTCTTCAAGGGCCTAGCTAATGCAATAAGATAAGAAAAATAAATAACATTAATATTGGAAAAGAAGATATAAATTATTGTCTCAAATATTATGATTATAACTATGATGAGCAATGCCTTAAAGCAACTTAAAAGGCATTAAAAAAATTAAAGCATTAAAAAAATCCAAGTGATGGGAAGAAATACAGGCTGTGTTTTTAAACCCACAGCATCCCTTTATTATAACAGTTAAAACATTAAATGGAACAAAGGTCTCATTCACCACAGTGTTTATAAAACAAGGTTTATTCTTTCTTCTGGCACTAAATATTTTTCCTAAAAGCACAGATTTATAATTTTTTTTAAATTTTTGAAACACTAATATATATCAGTCCTATAGTTAAATAGTTATTTGTAGCTACTTTTCTTCAGTGTTTAATCATAAAATTAGGTAAAGCTAGAACTAATCAGAGAAAAAAATTTGAAGATTTATGGTTTCAACATAGCACCAGTTGATCCTGATATCAGTAGAGCATTAAACTATAATATACTACATAGTTACAATGCTATAAATCTTTTTATACTCTAATTATGTTGCTAGAGAACAATATTAAAACATCATTATGATAACTAAAATTTTATACCATAACACAAGTTTGACATAGTTTATTAACAAAGCTCACTGCCATTTCAAATAATAAAAACAATAGTGCCATGCCAAAGATTCAATGTCTTGACTTTTTTTAAGTATCTGGTAGCAAATTTGAGGAAAAGAAGCACAAAGAAGGTGAAGTACTTATATTAAAATATCTGAAAAGAAAGACCTATTATTATAGGATAGTTTCATTAAAGTCTCTTCTATCTAAAAAGATCCTTGGTTCTTTGCATCATCACAAAAATAAGAAGCTACATAGGAAGCATTAACCTTGAGAAAACCTAGATTCAGTCTTGCTTTAATAGGGAGCCAAACCAGATTATTTGCACAATATATCTTAAATCAATATATCTTAAAGCCTAACAGATCCTTACATCAGGGGAAAGCACACATCTGCAAAATTAAATTAATGGAGAATAATACTACTTAAGATGAATTAAGTATCATGGTTAACCTTAAAATTTTAGAATTTTCAAGGAAATGGAATAGTGTGTGTTTTCTAATTAAAAGATAATTAAAGACAAGTTTCTCCACACACAAAAATGTCCTTAAAGATTTAAACATTTAACTATTACCTAATAAGGGTAGGGAGATAATTAATGCATTCATTATAAATACCATTCCAAAATAAACTTGTCCAATCATGAATTCATTGGATAGAATGCCTGCTATGGTATCAGGTGCTGTCATCACTGTGAGGAAATATAAAAAATACTGAAACATTTAAAAATTTCAACGTGTAAAGTAAAATTCTGAGCCACCAAGAAAATTACATCCTTGAGCAACTGATTTTATAAATTCTTCTCACTATTCCATTAAATTGATTTCCACCCCAGAATTTCTTCCCAGTTCTAAAATAAGAGAACAAGAAAATTACCTAAATAAGACAATACAAAAGAATAGAAATGTACCAGAAGCCTTGTTTCCATTTGCACTCAACAGTGCATCTAGTGTTCAATTTTTTCTTCAAAGAAAATCTTGATTGAAAAGAACAAAAAGTACAACCAGCTTTCACATCTAAGAAAGTACACTGTTCAGTGCTGCTGCCTGCCTCACAAATGAAAGGTCCTGAGTTCAATATCTATACCAAAAAAAAAAAAAGAAAGAAAGAAAATACACTGTTCAGCTTTTACTAAAGTGTGCAAAAGATTGAAACAAATACTATTAACACACATCTTTATTCTAAGTTACATAATGCCATGGACCATAGAATTGATCTAAGACTTTGATATATGACTTTTTGAAATAAATATTACCAACAAGTAGAAATTTTTCATTTGTTGTCTGAAGATAGTCTTAGAAGAGTTTTTATCAGTATATTTTCTCGTAACTTAAGGAAATGTCACTTCTATAACCTAAAAGATGCATTTTCTAGAAAGGTGATTTACTTGGGGGGGGGCACTACATTGCTTCTTCCCAAGGAAAATAGATGCATTCCATTCTTGAGCGTTCTCTCTATATACACACACACATATATGTACATGCTGTATATATTTATACTCAACAAAGGCTTGCTTTTGAGATTTCCTCTTTTAACTAATTCATTATTCTCTGTGTGACTTAAACTGTACTGCCCTATACTTATTTAATCAAACATGTAGTGAGTACCATTTGCATATCTAGCTTTATGTGGAAGGAAGGAAGAAAAGACAATCTGTCCTTCAGAATCTAGGGGTCTCTTTCAGAGGCAAAAAAACACCCCATGATATATCATTACGTTATGAAACTAATGCCAAAACCAATGGTACAAGTATCATGCATTTTATATTTATGTAGAATTTTGGTGTATTTAATCCTCAGAACAATCTTGAGAAGAATACAATATTGGCCCCATGTTAGCGACAGGAACCTGAGGTCAGAAATGGTAAGCAACATGCAGATGATAATGGAAGAGTCAAGACTCAAGCCGGGTTTTATGATGCTAAGCCCAGTGCTCTCTTCCATACAGCTCAAGGAAACCAAGGATGGGGTAGTCAACAAGACAACAGGCAGCCTTCAGAAGAGATGAAACTGAACTGAACTGAACCTGATACCTGAGCAGTATTCACCTCAATGTCCAAATTAATTTTATTTTCCAAATACTTACATTACAGTGTGATAAGCAGAGGACGACTACCATTTCCTTAATCTTAGTGCCTTTACCTCTTCAATTAGAGCTCTGCCTTCATAAATGGTGATGTGGAATATAATAAAAAGTCGGCTTAACGGGCTCAGATGTCTTAAATCATAAACATCAATCTGAAAAGTCAAGTTTCTATTATCCTATTTTGTTTTCCCTGAGCACTGGGGAGCATAACTCGCTCACCCTTTTCTAGCATTCTTGCTCCTAATAACCACTTAAGATGTAACCACTGACCGTCCCCCAATCCCACAAGTTCACCCCAGTTCTATCAGGCCTCCAGCCCCCTCCCAGACACCTTCCCCTTCCTCCCGATGGATAGGATACCGAGTTCAGATTCTGCAGATCCCGTCGCGATGCTGTCACACAGCACTGACAGGTAAGATTTGACTTTTCCACTCCGTCCTTGGGGACCTCTCGCTGGCTGCGTAGCGTAGCTCCAACCCCGGGAAGGGGGCTCCCGGCTCGGGAAAGCAGCCCCTGTTAGCGCGCGGTCCGAAGCTATGTCTCCGACAACTAGAAGGAGACAGGGCGCAGAGCGTGCTTCACTCCGCCCCATACTCCTGCCACCGGCAAGGGACTGGGTCCCTCAGCCAGTCCATCCCACTCCACAGGCAGGTCCAGACCAGCCGGACCTTACACAGGACCCCAAAGACAGGTCGTCGGTCGCGGCGGCGGCGGCGGCGGCAACAAAATCCAAGGCCACCCGCCCCGGGTGCCCATCGCTGAAAATTCAAGACCCCCTAAAACTGGACCGCAGAAAAGCGTTTCTATGGGAACCTCCTGTGATCACGTGATGCACTCCAGCAGCCAATCGCCTCTTACCTCAGCCGGCGGGCCCCCCCCTTTCGGCTCGCCCCTCCGCCCCCGCCTCCTGAGCTCAGCTCCGCCCCTTTCCTGCTGAAGGCTTGCGCCTGCGCACTGTGCCCTGCGCGCTCCCGCCCTGGTGCGCGCTCCCCGGGGGGAGCGGAGGCGGTGTGCGTCGGGGGGGGCGGTGCTGGAGACGAGCGCAAACCTGAGGAGGAAGGAGTGGGGCGAGCGCGCAGGCCCAGAACCGCCCTAGCCGCGGCTGCCGGCGACGCCCCAGAGCGGAAGAGGGAAGTGAGTCGCGCCGGGCTGCGGGTTCGGACCGGGCTGGGCTTGTGAGGTAGAGCCAGCGCCGAGAGGAGGCCTTCGCTGCCAGTCGGGATCCGGGATGGCGAAGAACACGGTGTCGTCGGCCCGCTTCCGGAAGGTGGACGTGGATGAGTACGATGAGAACAAGTTCGTGGACGAGGAAGACGGGGGCGACGGCCAGGCCGGGCCCGACGAGGGCGAGGTGGACTCCTGCCTGAGGCAATATCCTTGCCTGGACGGTGCGCCGCCGCCCAGTCTGCGGGGTCGCGTTCCCTGCGGCCCGGCTGGAACCTGGCCCGCCGGGTCCTCATGTTGGGAGGGCAGGGTCTTTCCCAGGGGTTCTCGGGTGGGACCCCGAGTTGCGCCCCAGTCCACTTGGCCTTGCCCGGAATCCTCAGGCTGCGCGAGTGTGCCGCCTGGGGAACGGGCCCTGCCGACCGCGCCCTCGCGGCGCAGGGCAGTCTGAGCTGGCCGGGGGACTGGAGTGGGCGCTTAAGTTTTCTTTCAGAGCTCCGCTTAGTGAGGTCGCGTCAGCTCCAGAAATTTCTGATTGGAGCAGAACGGGCCTGTTTCTTTAATGATTTTTGTTTTTCTCTTGATGCTTTTGGTTTGGGTAGCGATGGGATAGCTGATTCCTTACTAGGAGGGAAGGATCAGTTCGCCAGTTGAGACCTCTGCTTTGAGTCTATGGGCTGTTTGGGGGGGGGGGGTTGTAAGAGAAAGGGATGTGGGCAAATACAGGTTGCACATAATTTGTTAACCAGACAAAGGGAGTGAATACAAAACTGCAACACTCGCAGTAAGGAAGTTTGGACCCTTTTACCTGCTAGGAAAAGGACAATAGAAAAAGACAAGGAGTGCATGTGGAGAATCTCTGGAAATATTTAAAGTAAATTCCAATGAATAAAATAGGCAATGAGTCATTGGTATGAAGCAGAATCATTTTTGTGATCCTGAAATTGTTTCCATTTTAGTTAAAATATGGCTGTCAGTTCCTGGTTTCTGGTTTTGCATGTTTGAATATTCATAACTTGAATTACCATTTGGATCAGATCATTTTTAGAACAATGTAAATGTTGCAAAAATCACAACTGTGGTTTTAGAAAATCTCAATAGCTCTTTATACAATTGTAATTATCCTTGGGTATATTCATGAAGAAAGCTCATCAGTGTTGTATTAAATTATAATGGAGAAATATATGAGCAACTATATATTGCTGCGCAGTGTCTTGCAGGCTCCCACCCTCGAAACTGTATCTTGTTATAAAGACACATAAATACAGCATTAAATGTTTATCAATATACACTATAGGTTTTCCTTTGATTGCCACAACTTCCAAAAGCAGTTGTTACTGTTTTGCATTAAGTACTTGTTAACTAGTTTAGGTCTAAAAAAATAAGCCAGTCTACAAAAGGCATGCTTCTTTAGAAACCTAGGTAGCCTTGAAAATAGCTTAGCCGCAACCATAGATGTTTTTTCTTCAAAAGATAAGTGAACAGTAGTCTTTCTAAAAGCATTCTTTGTGATAAATGATACTTTATGAAACTAACGTCGTTCTTAATGAATCCTAAATGGTACTGCTGTGTCCCTGTCAGTGGATCTATTTTTTAATCCATTCATTTCTTCTTACCTTTGTTATAACCAGGAGAGACAGACTCAGGGTGGGATAGCACAGATGGAGGAACAAGTGAACTCTGGTTTACCTTTTAGGGGAATGACTGTACATTCTGACTGTGATTGGCCTTCCGTTTCTCGTGCTTGCTCACTGGTGCTAAAGAGAGACTAAATTTAATAGGTATGGTCTAACCAGTTTGAATAACCTTTATGAAATAGGGAAGAGTATCTAAGAAAAAATAACCTGCCACTTAAGGGTTATGTGAATTATTACACCTTCTGCAATACCTCTGACACTTATCAAAAGATTGCTCCTAATGTGTATCATTCAGATTGCTAAAGCAACCTCCCACAGTTTCCTACTAGCATTTCAGTATGAAGTGTTGGTCTTTACTTTTCAAGTTAGAATCATAAGACATATTAGGCTGTTTCATATGGGGACATAATAATTTTTATATATATTTTAGGGTTTCTTTAATACCAGTCTGGGTTGTTTGCATACATTTCACTTGGAAATGAAAGATCAAGGTATTCATTTCATAGCTAGAACCAAGGGTGAAATAGTCTTTGCTTTATTTTTAAAATAGTCTTATGTTCTCTTTTAATTTCAGTACAGTATTTTACTTTTGATTGACATATTGGAAACCAACACATTGAATTTCCAATATCGAGCATAGTGACCATAGTAATTTTGTTTCTTATGCATAATCTTAAAAACTAGTGATTCCAAGTGGTTATAATGCTCACCCAAGAGCTTCCCTTTGCTGTTACTCCCTTAACCTCTATCACAGGAAATATGACAGCTGCTCTCCAGGCAGCTCTGAAAAACCCCCCTATCAACACCAAGAGTCAGGCAGTGAAGGTGAGTCACAGACCTCTGCCATATCTTACTGTTCTTAGCAAAATCTTCTGAAATCTCAAAAAATCAACAAATATTTTCAACTGTTTACTGTCTTTGGCTTAGAAGAGCATTTAGTGTGCTTTGGTAAAAATTTCATATGAAAAAATAGCACTGTAACATGGTTATGATACGGCTACATCATAGAAATTCAAATGATAGAGAAATCATTTCTGTGTGTTTTCAAAGGAGGCCACTCAGGCTGTATTTAAGCAAAGGCATAAAGAACAAGTAAAACTTATACCAAAATAAACAGGTTCTGTTGGCTTCTTAACGATTTTTTTAACTATACAGATATAAAATATTTCATATACAAAGTTCAGAGATGAGAGGATAAAGGGATCATAATAACCACTACTCAGAGGAAAAATTACTATTTGGTGTTGCTCTATCCCTATGGAGTTTTTCTGTGAGTTTTTGTTTTCATAAAAATAGAATTTTTAACCTCCTTTTTCAAGTGTATAGCAATATATATAAACTTTTCCTTAGCAATAAGATTATTTCTGTAGCATTTTTAACATCTATACACCAATTTGCTGAAGTTTATACATAATTGATCCCCTTTAGTCATATAATTTAAACAGACTATTTTTCCTGGTTGTGTACAGTACTGAAATGAATAGTTTTAGATAAATTTTTAGTTACAGACATTCTTCTCTTAACAACCAAGTTCCATTCCTTCAACTAGGTAGTTACATGAATTGGTCACTAAATTAGGAATTGTATATCGTTTGTACATTACAATATTGAAAACAAGGAAATGGGGAAATGGTGAAAGGAAACTCCAACCTGATGGCTTTGCTTTTATTTGGATAAGTCTTACATGCAGTGCTGTAATGTATAACAGAATGTAAAACTACAGTACTGTACTGCACAGCACAATCAGCAAAAACTACAGTACTGTATAAACAAGATGTTTACAAAAAAAAAAGACATTGAGCCTCTATCCACAAGATCTACAGAACTATACAAAAAAAAAGATGTATCACAAGTCGGAACAGTTGTTAATCAGTTGGGTCGTTAAATCTGTATTTCCTTTCAGTAAATTCCTAGAAATGAAACACTATATCAAAGAATGAACCTTTTTAAAGACTATGGTACATAAAGTATGGCTAAATTGCTGTTAAGGCCAGTTGTGCAACTAAGGTCCCCTGCAGCCATCTTTCACTAGTTCTGAGTCGCACTGTTTAAAATGAAGCCTAAAGCGTCAACATTGCTGTCAGTGGCTAGTCATACAATTCAGAGCTTCAAGAATCTCTGTAATTGAATAATAGTAAATAACTTAGGTAAATGTAATAATTAAGCAACAAAAAATTTTGTAAGGGGAAAAATTTTCTTTGGTTTTTAATACTTAGGAACATCATGGAAATTTCAGTTTTACCACCTTCTGCTCTTATGGGGGTGGTTTTTATCACAGCTTGTGGGTGGGAGGTTTTAATTCTGGATGCAAAGATATTTTTCTGAATCAAGTAATTGCACAGTCTTTAAACTGAAGATAACAGTAAGTGGTAGAACAGTCTGGAGAATCCTGAAAGTAAGAAAGCGGAAGATACTACTTTGTGTTGAATAGAAGGAAAAGCAAATTGTTGAAAGGGTCAATTAAGTATTCCCTTTGCTTGACTAAATGGGTAAGAAAATAATTGCTTTTGGAACAGACTTTTACCAAAGAAGAAAGATTATTATAAGTGCATGTCACTATATCTATAGATAATGAAGCTTAACACTTAATAAGTCTTCTTAAAATTTTAAGTAAGAAAGTTTTAAGAAAAAATTATTTTTGAATAGTTCAAGGTAGAATGGCAAATCAGTTTTCTTGTTTTGTTAGGATTTTTTTAAAGACCAAGAAGGAAAATTTAAATGTTTTAATAAATTGTTATATTATCATATCAATCTGCTAGTAAATCTCAGCTCTGCCTTCAAATATGCCAAGAATCTGTCCACTTTTTACCACCTCTTCTGCTATCATGCTAACCAAAACCAGCCAGTCTTATTGCAATTACTTCCTCATTGGTCTCCCTGCCTTGTCCCCATGCCCCTACAGCTTATTCTCAACATAAATGCCGAAATGAGCTTATTAAAATTAGTCAGATTATGTTACCACTTTTTAAACCCTTCAGTGTCTTCTCATTTCTCTCAGAACAGTTATGCAAAGTATTTATAATAAGTAGAAGTGGTGGCACATGCCTGTAATCCCAGCACCAGAGAGGCTGAGGCAGGAGGATCACCATGAGTTTGACCCCAGTCTGAGCTCAAGACCAGCCTAAACTACATAGTAAGACCCTGTCTCCCAAAAAAAAAACAACAACAAACAAAAGTATTTTAAATAAATCAGTGGCCTACAGGTCTTACATGAACTGCCTTTCCGTGACCCCTCTGACTTCCTCTCCTATGGCTCAGCCCTACCCACATTGAGTCTTTGGAATACACTGAACCTGCACCAACAGCACATGTTCTTCTGTCTAAAACACTTTCCATATCTCCAAGGTTTCCTTTTTTCACATCCTTCAGGTGTCTGCTCAAATGTCATCTCAGCAAGGTCTCTTACACACATCTAAATGCTTTATTATATATTTCCCCTAGGATCGGGCAGGCAGCATTGTCTTGAAGGTGCTTATCTCTTTTAAAGCTAATGATATTGAAAAGGCTGTTCAATCTCTGGACAAGAGTGGTGTGGATCTCCTAATGAAGTATATTTATAAAGGCTTTGAGAGCCCCTCTGACAATAGCAGTGCTATGTTACTACAATGGCATGAAAAGGTAAGATATTATAAATCTGTATAATTCCTTTATAATAGAGAATAACAGTGCCTCCCTCACCTAAATGACCACATTGACTTAATTGTATATATTTATTATTACAGATAAAATGCATGAAAATGAAAAGGTTTGAGGCTACCAGCCTCTTAAGAGTTTCTGATTTACATGTATATTTTCACATATATTTAGCACATACATTTTTATTCATTAAATATTGTCTTGAACCTTGAATTAAATGAAAACTTTGCAGAAGAAATTAAGGAATAAAAAATCAGTGATCAAAAGGTGAAAACAACCCAAAGTGGACACATAATATATGGTCCACAGAAGAGAGACTATTAGAGAAATGGAAGAAAATCAGGGAAAAAAGGCAAGGGGGGATAATGGGAGAATGAAAATATTTCTTCTTATATGAAGTAGTCTAGAGTAGATAAATTCAGACAGACAGAAAGTCATAGAGGTAGTCAGGAACTGGGGAAAGCAGGGACTAGGGAGCTACTAAATAGACAAAGCTTCTATTTGAGGTGATGAAAGTTTTGATAATAGATTATGGTGATGGCTGCATTGTTTATATTTTACCACATTTGTTTTAAAAATCAAAGAAAATTAGAATTCTTAGGTTCATTTCTCCATTTTCATGCATTTTATTTTTCAATGTAAGCAAATGCTGGCACACTACCCATTAAAGAGAAAAAGAAGGGATTTTGAGCTCTGTATAAAGTTGGTACGGTAATCTTTAATACCCTACTCTTACTGGTAAAAATATATAAATAATAACATTTAAATAGAACCATGAGGTAAAGAGTGTGTTCTCAGATATTCTTAAAATTCTCAAAACTCAGTTTTTTAAAAACTATTGATTGTTGTAAGTTATATGTATGAAACACGCATGTGTATAAGATTTAAGTGCGGGGGGGAGGGTGCATGCCTGGGGAAGTAGTTCAGTGGTAGAATACTTGCCTAGGATGCTTGATGCCCTGAGTTTATCCCTGACACGGTGGGGGGGGGGGGCAGGCCCAGTGGTCAATTCCTGTAGTGCTAGCTGCTCAGAAGCTAAGGTGGAAGGATCACTTGAGCTCAGAAATTTAAGACCAGCCTGGGCAACTAGCAAGATCCCATGTCAAAAAGGATAAATAAGTAGTAAAACTTATTTAGCCTTGGTTGAATAACTATCCCTTGCATGTTATCAAAAAGCTAATATTTGTAGATAAAGTAAACATTCCTCATAGTTTTTCCCAATATAGTCCCCATATATGCCTTTTTTTTCTTTTTTTTTAGGTACTGGGGATCAAACTTGGGTCCTTACACTTGTGCAGCAGGTGGCGAAACCACTGAGCTAAATCCCCGGTTCCCCATATATGCCTTTTGTCCCATCATAATTATGAATAGTTCTCCTTTTCAGTCTAAAGTGTAACAATTTGAGCATAATTTATATGGTCGTGTTATTCATGGAACACTTTCTGTTTGTCAGGCAATATACTGTTCATTTACATTTCACTTAATCCTCACAACTCTCCAAGGTATGTAAACAGGTGAAGAGCCAATTGTAAAACCCAAGTAGCCTAGTCCAGGATAGAGTCAGGATCGTAGTGAACATCAATTGAGAACTTATTACAGTCCAAGCACGCTTCCAAAGACTTTATAATATTAACTCACTTAATCCTCATAAAAATACTAAAAGGAAAAACTTGCCATTATTCCTCTTTTGTAGATGAGGAAATCTGGAGGCATGTGCTAAGTCTTCATTTTTTCCTAATATCAGTCACCAGTGTTTGCCAGTTGTGTCTCCTGAATGCATCTCACATCTATCCACTGAGTGAATCTCTAATACACCAGTTGGCAGCATCTTTCAGTCTGTTGCTGTAGCTTCCTGATTTCCCAGCTGCCGATTTTGCCTCCCTCAAATCTGTTCTTCACCCAGCCACCAGAATAATCTGTTTAAAAATGTGCCCTTGTCAGTTGCCTGCCAAATAAAGTTTGAGTATCCAAGCCTAGCCTCATCTTCCATGTCATTCTTCCCTTAGACAGTAGCAGTTCCAGCTTTTTCCTGATTGTACTAATCCTTTTCACATCTGTGTACATTTGCTCATGATTTTCTGGTGTCAGACTTAACACATGCCTCCAATTCCCTCATCTACAAAAGAGGAATAACAAGTTTTACCTCCTCGTCCATTTAATGTATTATTTTTCTCCAGGAGGTTTTACCTAAAACATTGCAATAGTAGTATAATCAAATACTACTGTTACACCACCTAAATAAATTAAAAACACCATTAAGCCTAAAAATGACCCCCCATTACTGAAAATAATTGCACACCCAACCCCACCACTAATAATTAATGCCAGACCTCCATAGACAGGAGAAGGTTTCACAGATAGGCCAACAAACCCAATAACAAATATACTTAGAAGATATACAGTGTTTAAAATCATAATTCCCACATGGAATTTGACCATGACTAATGATATGAGGTATATGCCCCTTCTCTGTAGCACCCTTAAGCATAACTCTTAGCATTTTAGACATATTAAAATTTTTTTATATGACTATCTCCTCCCAGCATCTAACTCAGTACACAATGGTACTCAACATTTTTGTTAGGCCACAGCAAAGGTTCTCTTTTTTTTTTTTTTTTTTTTTGAGCCAGTCTCATTGTTAGTTTAGGCTGGTCTTGAACTCATCAGGTAGCACTAGCTGGCCTCGAACTCATGGCAATCCTCCTGTCTCAGCCTCCCAAGTGCTGGGACTTGGCCAGTGTCAACATTTTTGGACAGAAGTAAACCAGAGCTTCCAATTCCTAACACTTAATCATGACTTCCAACTTTTCAAGTTAGAGTTATAGTTTAAGTTTGTATGTTCTTAGCTCTTCAGTAGTATCTTCTTACCTTGGGGGAAAAAAGTCTAATTCCAACTAATTAATCTAAATGTATATTAGTAATGGTTCATCCCATTTTAATTTCTTCCTAACTGGAAATAATAAGAGATGTGCAGAACATCCTGCGTTACATTTGAGCACCTGTTTTAGGCAAGAACACTATGCTGTGACTTTTTTTAAAAAACTATTTAGAAACAGTGTGGATAAAGTACCATTCCTCACAGTTGTAAACTAGTATCTGAGTAGAATGTAAGACCATGAGTGCAAGGGCATTGAAAGGTTTATTTTTTATGATATCTCTAATGCTGTCAACAGTGCCTAGTGCATAATGGGTACTCAGAGTACTTACTAAATTAATGAATTCACACTCTGTGGTGTACATATTTCTTAGGAAAACTCTCTTACTTAGTATGAGACTTGACCCTCTATGATTATGTGAACATTTACCTTTGGTTTGTGTTTAGGCACTTGCTGCTGGAGGAGTAGGATCCATTGTTCGTGTCTTGACTGCAAGGAAAACCGTGTAGTCCAGCAGGAACTGGCTATCCACCATGCGAGTTGATGGTACAAAGACCAAAACAACCAAATGCCACCGCTGCCCTGTGGGTAGCACCTGTTTCTCTCAGCTTTGCCTTGCTTCCTTTTCGTATCTGTAAAGAAGAATATTATGTATCAGTTTTTTCTTTAATGAAAATCAGGATAATGTAGAGGAAATTTTGTTTCAACAAGAGTATTTCACTTTGACATAATCATTTCAATGATGTGTATACCAGTCTATATATAGTATAATTTACATTCAACTTTAATTGTGCAATTTTTAACTCCTATTGGCTGGATTTTATGTTGTTTTATATTATTTTTAATTAATACTGAGATTTGATCAGAATTTGAGGCCAGTTTCCTAACTCATTGCTAGTGAGGAAATGATCTCTATTTTTTAAAAAAAAGTATATATGTGAGACTGGCAGCTATTAACATTGCACAACTGGACCATACTTCCCTTATTTAAGCAAAATGTGTTTTCAGAACAAGTAGTGGGTAAACACCACTACTAGTTTCCAGTTTTATGTCTGTTTGCCTCCAGATTATCTATGCTGGGTTTAAGTATGCTACTACTTTTTAGCATCCAATTATCATGGCCTCTCAAGTTCTTTGTGGTCACCCAGGGTCCAGAGCAAGGAGTCTTGCTCTATACAGATGTATCTATAAAATACTAGAGCCTGTTTGGCAGGAACATCAAATTTTTCTTCCCATAATATGGCTCTGTTTGGGGAAACTACTCCAAATTAGAAAGGATGCAGAAACGATGCTGTAATTCTAATTCTGGGCAGCCCTTGAATGAAATACTATTTTCTTTAGAAATATAGTAGCTGCCTTATATATTATATGGTATATAACAAGTACTTAATATACCATTTGATATACCCTGTAAATGTCTTCAGTATTCTTCAGGGTAATTGGGTCTCAAAGAATTTGGTTCCGATCCAAACAAATATAGTCTGTGTTTCAGCTCAGTGTTTTTTAAGAAAGAAAATGCCACGCAGCAAAAAATTGTTTACTTTGTTGGACAAACCAAATTGGTTTTCAAAAAATGACCGGTGCTTGTAAAAATTTGTTAGTATTCAGTGGTTCCAAAATAAACTACCTGAATGCATATGACCAAGAGAGAAATCAGCCTGTGTCTAGTATTTACATTGGATACCAGTTTCATAATCACTGACTTATGTGAAAACTGGTGCAGAAATTCTATAAACTCTTTGCTGTTTTTGATACCTGCTTTTTGTTTTCTTTTGTTTTGTAAAAATGATAAACTTCAGAAAATAAAATGTCAATGTTGAATAATTTATTTTTCCTACTTTAATACTTATGCATGCATGGGTAATTTAAAAGATTTCCTGGTGCTACCACCATGTATTGTACTCTAGACAGTTAATTTGGTAGAGTTCATAGAACTACTTTATATAAATAGGAGCCAGTAGAGAAGAGGAGTCATTACTCTAGTGATGTCAGAGCACTTCTAAGGCCTTTGGAGGGAATCCGTGGCCCTCTGGATGGCAGCAAAATTCCTGTAGCATCACTGCCCAAACACTTAGACTCAGATGTGCAGATTTGCCTCTCAAGTGCAGTCATTCCCAGTTTCTAAACTCTTTTTTTTTTTCGCTACCGGGGATTGAACTCGCGTCCTTGTGCTTATACCTCAGGCCTGTTTCTCATACAGTACTACTAACTAAATTCCTCTTTGTTTTTTTTTGACAGACAGGGTCTCACTAGATAATTTAAATTGACCTTGAACTGACTGTGTACCCCAGGCTGGCCTGGAACTCACAGTGATCCTCCTACATCAGCCTCCCAAATGCTGGGGTTACAGGCATTCAGTACCACACCCGACTTAAGTTCCTGCTTTAAAGCTTTAAAAGCTTATAGGCGATTCAGAAGACTATGAGTTAGGAGAAGCTAAGCAGTAATTAAAAGAAGTAAGTAGTTACAACATAACCACTTACAGAAAACAAAAGTGATACTGCAGTGCTTTTTTATAGAATCCTTAATATCATTTCTGAAGTGTTGGGAGAAATTCTAGAGTTCCATATTCTGTATACACAAGAATGGCTATGTTTAAAGTCTGCTGGCCTATCAAATATACTCAGAAAGGTAGTAAAAATACAAGCAGTGCGGCACAGGAACCAAATCAGAGAGCATCCCCGCTGGAAACAGTGAGCTGAACTGATACATCCTGGCTAAATCACGCAGGTTGCAGTAACCATAGCACAGTGCCATCCCTGATGGAGGGTGGAGGATGGGGCCAACTGTGGAAAAAAAAATGTATAAAAACCAAGGGACACTTTTGCACAAAAATGGTTCTTTACCTACCATACTTTTCTACTTTCATATCAATAGCTTTTGTTTTTGCCACTTTTTAAGTGGGGAAAAATGGCAAACATTGAGTCATACTTGATAAGTATGATGTCTTAAGGAGATCCATTAACACAAGTGAAGTCTGTGTAGTGGTACAAATTAACTAAATATTTATTTTTAAGCGTTTACTGTGATCACCAAAATTATAAGGGGCATATAAGAAGAATAAGATCTAAATCTTCCTCACAAGTTGCTTTCAGCCTAATTGGGAAGATTTAGATACTGTAAAATTCATGTCCTACAATTTAGCATTTGACTGTAAATGCAGTTAGGGCTGAGAGAACAATGAGACCGGGGTGGACCAGAGTACAACGAGACAGATCAATATGAACCAAGCCTCACAGGACAGGGGAGAAGGTCCAAGTGACAATAAAAAGAAGAGGGCCGGGGATTTAGTTCAGTGGTTCTGCTGCCTGTCTCGCAAGCACAAGGACCCCAGTTCGATCCCCAGTACCAAAAAAAAGAAGAAAATAAAAAGAAGAGAAAGTGGGTTTAATTTCATGTTCTTGTGGTTTTAATGTTTTTAACATAAATTCTAGACAGTGAAAGCTATTTATTAAACAGATTAGGCTTTCATAAAGAATCTTCATGAGGGATTCAGGACAGGAGATTATAGGAAATCATAGGATTTCTTTTAGCTGAAGTAGACATTGATGGTCACTTAATCTCCCCTCATATTTTATAACAGTAAAAATGGGAAAATCAGATTTTCTAAGAAGAAAAGCATCTCGATTTAATAATAAAGAACTTCACTTATTAAAAGTTATTATGGGGCCAGGGATTTAGCTCAGTGGTTCTGGTGCCTACCTCATGAGTGCAAGGTTCTGAGTTCGATCCCCGGTAACCCCCCCCCAAAAAAGTTGTTATGAATAATTTTATCCTTTATTTTTTTTCCCATTGCTAGGAATCAAACCCATGAGCACTCTACCAAATTTGTTAGTTATTGAGACACCAGCAATAGTTTAGCCTGGGTCTGAGTGGCCAGAATTACCCTGAGGTGATATGATTATAATGCAGATAAATACAATGCAGGAAACAAAACATCTCTAATAAATGGTAGTAATGTGACTTTTCATTTTTCAAAACAAGATTCTGAGCTGGAGGTGGACTAAGGCAAAAAAAAGCCACCCTTTATTGAGTCTTAACCTCCGCAGCTGAATTTTAGAGAATATATGTAATCTGCCCAAGATCAGACAGTTCGTAGTTGGTAGAGCAGAAATTCAAACTCATCTGCCTGACTCCAAAGCTATGTCACCTTCTTTCTCAGTCCTGGTGCTTGAGGAATAGAGATACTTCTAGGACAGTTAAAGATAGATTTTTCTCTAGAAACCCCAAACCTTGCTACATGGAGGATACTGTTGAGCAATATGGTCAACTCCGAAGCCTACCCTGAGGCAAAAATTGACCGATGTAGAAGTCAGAAGATTGGGAGGGGTGCCATGACAACTAGGGGCATACTCAACAGCACATAGCTCATTTTTCACTTTTACCTGCACTCTGATGATTCTTTATTAGAGAATTTTATTTTATTTTTAATAAACTTTATTTTATTCCATTCCCCCTCTCAGACCTTCTCCCCTCCTTGTGTACAAAAGCTTTGTTTCCATTTTTTCCTTCTATTTTCACTTTTTTTCTTGTCCCTTCCTTTCTCCCTCCTCCCTTGTTCCCCTTCCCATTTGAACACTTTCTTCCCATTTTCAAACATTCATTACACATTTCAGTCCTTATTTCCACTTTTGATTTCTCACATCAGAAAAACAATGTATTTAAACATGTGGCCAATTTATTTCACTTAGTAAGGTCTCAAGATCCATCCATGTAGCTATAAATGTCTGAAGCTCATTCTTTATGGCAGAGTAGTACTCCATTGTATAAAAACCCCGCATCTTTATCCACTCATCAATGGATGGGCATTTGGGTTGTTTCCAAGATTTAGCTATTATACACTGTACTGCTAAAAACATGGGTGCACAAATATCGCTGTGGTATGATGCTTTTAATTCTTTTGGGAAGATACCAAGAAGAGGTATGGCTGGGTCAAATGGAACCTCTAGTTTTAGTTTTTTGAGAAATCGCCACACCGATTTCCACAGTGTTTGTAGCAGTCTACACTCCCACCAACAGTGGAGAAGGGTTCCTTTTTCTCCACAGCCCCTCCAGCATTTGTTATTGGTTGATTTCTTGATAACAGCCATTCTTTCTGGAGTGAGATGGAATCTCAACATTGTTTTAATTTGCATTTCACAATGACCAGTGATGTTGAACATTTTTTCATACATTTATTTGCTCTTTCTAATTCTTCATCTGAGAAGTGTCTCTTCATTTCAGATGTCCATTTTTGGATTGGGTCTTTAAATTTGGGAGCTCTGATTTTTTTTTTTTCTTAGTTCTTCATATATTCTAGATAATAGCCCTTTATCTGATGAATAACTGGTAATAAATTTTTCCCACTGTGGGTTGTCTCCTCACTCTGTTAGTGGTTTCTCTTGCTGAGAAAAGCTTTTTTTGGGGGGGTGGGGTACTGGGGATCGAACTTGGGACCTTGCGCTTGCGAGGCAGGCACCGGAACCACTGAGCTAAATCCCCGGCCCCTAGAAAAGCTTTTTAATAAGACGGGGTCCCAGTTGTTGATTCTTTGTAGTATTTCCAGTGCAGTGTGGATTTTGTTCATGAAATCTTTGCCTGCTACTGTGTATGCAAGTGTTCTACCTACTCTCTCTTCCAGAAGATTTTTAGTGGTTCTGTTTTAATATTTAGATCTTTGACCCATTTTGATTTGAGGTTAGTGTGGTGAAAGATAGGGGCCTAGTTTCAATCTTAAGCATGTGGAAAGTCAGTTTTTCCAGCACCATTTATTAAAGAGGCTATCTTTGTTCCAGTGAAGATAAGGTGGCTGAGTGTGTCTGGAGTTGTGTCTGCATCCTCTAGTCTGTTCCATTGATCCTCAGGTCTGTTCTTTTGCCACTACCATGCTATTTTTATCACAGTAGCATGGTAGTATGATGATTTTTTAATCTATTAAAAATAGGCAGGGAGGCAGGGCCGGGGATTTAACTCAGTGGTACTGTACCTGCCTCACAGGCACAAGGTCCTGAGTTCAATCCCTGGTACTGGAAAAAAGAAAAAAAATCAGGTAAAGATCAAGTTGCAAGAGAAAACCACACACTTTTGTGACCCAAGCCCTCAGTCACTTTTTTCTAGTAGAATTACGTATGAGTTTTTACCTTGAACTTCATTTTTAATGGATTTCCTGTTTTCTGTTTTCATAGATGATATATTTAACAAACAACTATTTTAATTAATCTTGTTGTGGGCCAGGGATTTAGCTCAGTGGTTCCGCCGCCTGCCTCACAGGTGCAAGGTCCCGAGTTTAATCCCCAGTACCAAAAAAAAAAAAAAGAAAGAAAGGGAATTAATTAATCTTGTTGTAGTTCCATTGAGCAAGAACCAGAGCTACCATCTCATATCATTGGCCAAGCTCAAGATTATTGGTCATAACTAAAATTTATTAGATTTACACATAATCAAAAAAAAATAAACAGCACCAAAAGGATTGGTGACAGGACAATAAACCCAATTTAAAACCATTTTTTAGGAAAAGGTGTTCTAAAACAAGGCTTCTGTATCCATGATCTCACCATGGACCGCTCTCCAGCTCTGTCTGCCTCAGCTCCGCATTCCTGAATGCCTATAGGAGAACCCCATGTCAGAATGTTCTGTGGACTACAGGATGGTGCCTCTTAAACCAGCCAAGACAGAAAGGGCCTGGGAAGCCCACAGGGGTCCAACATAGCATCTGCCTCTAGGTGGCGCTGCTTCACCATGTTGATGCAATCACAACCCCCATGGGACACAGCTCACTTG